CTAAGCTCGTTTTGGCCTTTTTAAAAAGAAACTGAACCCTATTTTTTAGAAAAAGCAAGGGAACATTTAGTTTCTGCAACATTTTTTACCTTTATTGGATTACAGAGATCTGCTTGGAAATTATTTAAAAAAAAAAAAAAACTTGTCTGTGTTTTGCACTTTATGTTATATAACTGGTTGAAACTATTAAACACATTACTGTACCTTTCATACTACATAGGGGGTGGGGGGGTAGCTATTGTACCATTTCTTTATAGCTGAACTTTTTTAACTGGGACTGTTTTATTTGTTTAAATCATTTTGTTGTTTTACTCTTACTTTAATCTTATTTGTCTCTCAGGTGTTTCTTTGTTGATTGTGCTTCAGACTAAATGCACTACTGAAGAGACAGTTTGTTCAAAAAAGGGAAATTATGTCATCATTTACTGTACTCACCCTGTACTTGTACTTGCAAATGTATACGATTTTTTTTTTTTTTCTTCTGTTGAGCACAAAATATTGATTAACTCTGTCCGGTTCTCGGTTGACATCCATATTATTTTTCCCACCATGGAAGTTAATAGATTCCATTAACAGTGACCCATACTCAGAAATTGTGCTCTGCATTTAACTCTTTTAAGTATACACCCAGGGCATTTTGCAGCCAATGCTGCAGCAACTGGGGAGCTGTTGAGGAACGTTTGCAGAACCTTTGCAGTATACAAAATAGACATACTGTATGTACAGATACTATACACTCACCAGCCACTTTATTAGGTAAACCTGTCCAATGGCTTGTTAACACAAATTTCTAATTAACCAATCACATGGCAGCAACTCCAGCAGGCATGGAGACAATCTAGTCAAGACAATCTGCTGCAGTTCAAACAGAGCATCAGAATGGGGAAGAAAGGTGATTTAAGTGACTTTAAACATGGCATGGTTCATGGTTAGTGCCAGATGGGCTGGTCAGAGTATTTCAGAAACTGCTGATCTACTAGGATTTTCACATACAACTATCTCTAGGGTTTACAGAGAATGATCAGAAAAAGAGAAATTATCCAGTGAGCGGCAGTTCTGTGGGCAAAATTCCTTGTTGATGCCAGAGGACAGAGAAGAATGGCCAGACTGGTTTGAGCTGATATAAAGTCAAAAAATTACTTATTACACCTGGGGTAAGCAGAAGAGCATCTCTGAACGCACAACACGTCCAAGCTTGAGGTGAATGTGCTACAGCAGCAGAAGAAGAAGCGGGTGCCACTCCTGTCAGCTAAGGACAGGAAACTGAGGCAACAATTCGCACAGGCTCACCAAAATTAGACAAAAACATTGCCTCGGTTGATGAGTCTCAATTTTTATTGCGACATTCAAATGGTCGGGTCAGAATTTGGCATTAACAACATGAAGGCATGGATCCATCCTGTCTGGTGTGGGGGATATTTTCTTAGCACACTTTGGCCAATTAGTACCAATTGAGCATTGTGTCAACACCACACCCTAAGTATTGTTTCTCACCATGTCCATCCCTTTATAACCACAGTGTGCCTATCTTCTGATGGTTACTTCCAGCAAGTTAGTGTGCCTGTCATAAAGCGCGCATCTCAGACTCGTTTCTTGAACATGACAATGAGTTTACTGTACTCAAATGGCCTCCACAGTTACCAGAACTCAATCCAATAGAGCACCAGAGCATCATGGATGTGCAGCCGATAAATCTGCAGAAACTGCATGATGCTATCATGTCAATATGGACTAAAATCTCTGAGGAAAATTTTCAAATTTTCTTGTTGAATCTATGCCGCAAAAAATCAAAGCAGTCCTGAAGCCAAAATGTTATCCAACCCAGTACCAAATAAAGTGGCCAGGGAGGGTATGTGTACATATATTTGTCAAAAACAAGACCTCATTTACGGTCCACATGAAACAAATTTATAAAACTAATACATAGCACATAATATACGCTTCTCAGAATATTAAATGCTCATAAATATTTTTTTTGATCCCTGAAAATCTTTTTTTTTTGTCCAAACCCATTATGCTACATACTCTTAATTCTCCATATACAGAAAAGTATTGCCTTCTCAAGCAACAATGATAATTAATGAATGCCCCATTTTGTCTTAGCTGTGTATGTGTCTCTAAAATTTTCTAAAAAGAACATCTTTAGAACACTATTTTAACACAATAGCTACTAGTGAGAGTAGAATTGAACAATCGGTACAAATCAGGAACAGGCAAACCATCATAAGATATCAAAATATCTCACTGAGAAAGCTGCAAAAAAATAATACAAACAAATACTTTTTAAAAAACATTTGCAAAGTGAAAGTATACTCTGAGTAAATTCAATGTTATTTTTTCTGGTAATTAAATTAAAACATCTGTTAAATCCGAAGCTTAATCAGTATTATATAAAAAGCACGATCCCTCAATTGTTTTTAACAATACACATCTTGCATATCCAGAAATTAATTAATTCAGCTTTGCAGTAAAAGAGAAGTCTACAAAAATGTCATAAACAGCACCACATTGGTGACCAGAACTGCACTAAATGGTACAGTAAACTCTGTACAGATTTGATTGATTGGCTGTTTGTTTTTGCTCATCAACTTTTACCAGCAAGAAAAAGAAACACAAACTGAACATTGCTGATTAGACCATTTCTGAGTAATCAATGCAAGCAGAGGATGCTTTTTAATGTTCCAGAAGTTATAAGGTCATCTTCTGGGTCTTGCGTTGAGGAAACGCTACCCTATATTGGATGCTTGTAACCTGAGCTGAGCGTGTGCAGTGGGTCACGTACTGTACTGCAGATCTCAAGGAGGTGTTGCAAGCAGTAGCTCTCACAAACACTAACACATTCAGCATAAGCTGTCATGCCCTTCAGTCCTCACAAACCGTTATTAAAATAGAAAGAATGTCATGAAAATAATACACCTCTTCTGACAAGCTACCAAACACACAATGTTCTCCAAATCCTAACAGCAGTGCAAACCTAGGAGGATTTCCAAGCTAGCACATGTCCTTACTTGTTACTGTCTTATCTTATTATAGCTGGCTACACTGGTTCCTTTTTGGTGGGAATGCGTGTCTGCTTTGAAAAAAAAAGAGAGAATGTGGAAAAACCTAGTATGGTTATTTCAAAAACTGCAATGTTTTAAAATACTAATTATTCTAGGTGTCGGATTTGGATTCTACTGTTATTGTGATGTGGTCTTAATTCTGCAAAAAGTTCATATTGATACTGATCTTTTAAAAATAAAGTGATCTTCACGTTTCTCTAAATAATTAAAACATATTATAATGCTAATATAACACAAGCAGGCTTTTATGTTAAGTGCTGCAAAATATTTTCCAATGTAGTTTCTGTATCATTATAGGAGTGTTAACTCTTGTAGCTTGGTATTTTTGATCCAGACAACAAATTAAATGTGCTACATTTTGTCCTGGCTTAAGTTAGCTTGATTTTTAATCTGACTGTCAATGCTAAGGAAACAAAACAAAAGGCTTTTATAATGGATTTTTTATATCAAGACTTACCAAACGTTTAAACCATGCATTTGTAAGCAGTTAGTAAAAACTAGGTATTTGTTAAACTGAAAACAAATTACTAAATATGGAAAAGATAAACACAGCACCACGGGCCTCATGTATCAACGCTGCGTACACACAAAAACTTTGTGTATGCCAGATTTCACGTTTACATTTGGATTTACTAACGATGAAATAATGTGAGAATGTGCGTCAGTCGATGTCAACTTTATTGCTGGTGTATGTGCATTTCTTGTGTGTGTTTATTTTATTTCTACTCAATTGTTAAATTGCACACTACAAATTATCTTTGAGCCGTGCAATGGCAGCTATGGGATGGGATCATCCACATGTCTAGCAGGTATATAAGGTTTCCATACCATGCAGTTGACCAGCCAAACATTAAAGCACAATTTGCAGCCATCTGCAGACGAATTTGCATACGTGAATTGGAAACATTTCCATTTAATAAATGTGCAAAAAATTTGTGATGCTCAAATGCGCTTAACATAATACAACCACTTATTAATGATTCCTACTTGTCTTCCTCGTGATGAAGAGTAGACAAAATCTGATATGTAATGGGGAAAAAAATGAGTTCATCAGACCCTAGATTCGTACTGGGTTCATGATCGATTGCGTCTAAACATGTTGCCGTGCGATTTACGCGCTACACCACTCACGCTGCTGTTTGCCGCTCTCTTTAGATATGCATGTAATCGACACTATAAAATGTTACACCTTTACATGGGACCATTTCTTTTTTAATTCACTTACAGTGCAATGTTCAGACACCACTGCGTTAACCGCGTCAGCTAAACTGTGCCACTCTATTTTTTTTCTTTCGTTATTAATTCTGGTGGACAAACTGGTGGACACCGTTTCCGAAAGTAGCACCTCCAATTCACATTCTGTTAAAAGTTTCTCTTTTTGCTTGCTTTTGCCATTGCTTTTTCATTTGGTTTTGCCAATATAGAGTCATTACCATGTTTATTAGGTGGAGGAGGTAGAGAGGGGTTTTTCGCTTGTGCACGTGTGCTCAGTTTCACGTTAATTTGGATGTACAAAGAGAATATGCGTAGGACTCCGCGTACGCAGTGTTTCATACATCTGAATTTTTACTGCATACACACATTTACAGCTTTGTGCGTACGCAATGTTTTAGTATGAACTCAACGCAAGTCTTCGTACATGAGACCCCAAGAGCTCCTCTGTTGAATTAGCAATGCTTGTGCTGAGGTATAATAAATAAGAAAAAACAAGCATGCCCTATTTAGGTTGCATCTGCTCTGGTGTGCATTTATTTTTCTGTCAAACTGCACCAGAGTTTGTTGCTTTTTTTTGGTGCACAACATTTATTAAAATAAACCGCACTAACCGAGAATTTGCAACAGACTTTGTTTTAGCTGAAATAAACATGAAAAATCTGAACCCACCTAAAAAAATCTGAATACAGAAAAATGACAATTTGACAAGGTCAAATTATTTACCGTGACTTTCTTGAAATCAGAAGTCGAACTGAAGGAATCATGCTGTTTCTGTCATTAGGTAAACCCGCATGTAAACAGAATAAACCGGCTTATCCAGCACCAATTCCCCTCTTCACCTGCTGATGTATTACCTATGAAGACAAAAACAACTTTTAATCCCCCTTTAGAATGCACAGAATAAGCCTGGCATACAGAAGGGTGTATAATAATTCAAAGGGTGCAGAAGATGTGGTTTAAAACTGCAAATGTTTTATGGTTAACCATGAATTCCCAAATTTGCCAAAGAAACCACTTCCCCATAATTATCTGCACGCATCTCAAATCTACATTAATCTTTACCCTTGATATAAATGCCTTGTTAAACAAAACAATTGTTTTACTAGATCTAAAGCCAACATACATCTTAACCTAATCTTCAATTAATCTGTTATGGTAATTCTAGTTGCTGTAATACTACAGCTTTAGTAATATAAACAAATGAAATGATCCAGTACTGAAGTAGGTGTTAAAACTATACAATACATGTGTTTACTGCAGTACACTATGCATACTCCAGTTTTTATTACAGTTTATTAGTCAATAGTTACTGTAACATTAAACTATGTTATACAGTAATATCCAGTTGCAGTTTAATACTTTTTACTGTGGTTTAAAAACACTAGTATTCACTAAGCCACTAGGATTTAGTTCTTTATCTGGGATGTTGTTTACAATAATATTTTTAAAGGACTAACGTACGTAAGCTATTCCAATTAAGAAACACTGATGAATTTGGGCTGTGTAACTCTGACATTGAGCTGTCGAAATAGACGATGAAATAAAAGCGCGTCACGTTAAATAAAACAGAACCTCCTCCCAAAACACCAAATAAAAACACAACAGTAAATGAATCCACATTACCACATTTCCTCGGGTTCCTGCTTCTCGCACTGTCCCAAAAACACGCGCCTGGCTGTGTGGACCTGCCCTTCACAACATAAACAAACTTTCCCACTGCAAACATTCACAGAAAAACTCCAGCTTTCGTCGAGGCGCAGAACCTGCAGATCCGACTCAATTTGCTTAGAGTAGTAACGTTAGCGTTATCACAGTTATAGATTATATTAAGAGAGTTGAATCAACGTTGTTTATATGACTATGGCAAACGAAAGAGGAAACTCTTGCCACGTGACTTAGACGCATATTTATCTCATTTCAATTTATTTAGCTAATTAAACAGTTCGTACACATTGCGTGTGTTAAACGGATGTTTTGGAAATATGTGGCATACTGCAGCACGGTCTAAACTATTTATTTATTTATTTATTGTTATTTTATTTTTGTTTGTTTGTTTGTTTGTTTGTTTGTTTGTTTGTTTGTTTGTTTGTTTGTTTGTTTGTTTGTTTGTTTGTTTGTTTGTTTGTTTGTTTTGAAACTACTATTAATTAAAAATGAACGATAAATCCAGAGCTGGCTCCACTACAATAAACTACAATAGAAATAGCCTGCAACTTTAAAGTTTGTTTGCATGTTTTTTTTTTTTTGTGATTTAAAGAAACTATAATACAACTTATAATACAAATAACAGAAAACAGTTATTTTACACAATGTTCACATTAAATAAACAGGACAAAGAACAAAACCAGGAAAAAGTACATAATAATAATAATAATAATAATAATAATAATAATAATAATAATAATAATAATAATAATAAAGCAATTTAAAAAATCGATAGATAAAAATTTAAGTAGCTTCTACGATGTATATACTCAAGAAAAAAAGCACATTTCTTATTATCAATTAATCTAAGTGATTTAATTAAATGTTCTATAAGAAGTCTATAAAAAATAGATTTTTTAAGGAACCTCTGTTTGAGAAAGTAAAATTCACAGAAAAAAGTAAGTTCACAGTGGCTTCTAATGACTTCTTTTGACAAATAATATCCTTAAGGTGCAAATTACCACTCATATTAACCCTGGAAAAGCAATATGAACGTAAATGATTCCAAAACAATGATGATACATTGCATGAACAAAACAGGTGACATTTTTTACAAAACAGGTGAATTTGTTACATTTGTGCAAATTGTACAGATATTTACAAGGTGCAAATATCAGTAACATCACAATATTTGGACAAGAATGCATTCCAGGGGTGAATATTTTATTTTATTAGGAATACAAAATTTATATAGGCCTAGTAATAACCATGTTTTCCTCCTTTGAATGTTAACAATTATAAAACCTCAAAAAAAAAAGCTTTCTTTGTGTGCGTGTGTGTGTGTATGTGTGTGTGTGTGTGTGTGTGTGCGTGTGTGTGTGTGTGTGTGTGTGTGTGTGTGTGTGTGTGTGTGTGCGCGTGTGCCTGTGTGACGTATAAAGAAAACAAAAAATATCATGTCTGAACAGTGCATAAGTTGTCACATTTTGATCTGATATTATCACTATTTGTGTTTTTTTAAGATACATAAAACAATGATAATTAAATAATTCAGCAACACAAATGAATCAGACTTTTTTTTATTTCAAACAGATTTAAAATGTAATTGAAGATGTAATTGAAGCCAAATACAATAATTAAAAAAACAACAACGTTAAGATAACTGATTGGAATTATATGGGCTGAATTACAAAACACAAATTACGTTGAACTTCTGTATCTTAAATTACTAAATTTAATTTGTTTGTTTAAATTCAGCCTATATAAATAGCTTACATATAGTTGCCTTAAAAAAAATCAGTAAACCAAAGGATTTTTTCCAGCGTGTGTATGTCATTTCGTACATTTGTTACAATAGGCTATAAACCTATAATTAACTTATTTTTCTGACATTTTACTAAGCTGGTAAAATGAAAAAAAATCTTCGTGTGAGAATTAAGTACTGCCACATGTCAAAAATGCTTAGAAATACCAAAATTGTAAATGTACACAGATTTAAGTATTTTGAAAATGTAAAAATACTGATTGTGTTCTGTGAGGTTTGGTTTATGAGTAGGATATGGCTCAGCAAATCTAGAAGTCATTACATCTGTGGTAACTCCCAATTAAGATAGCTGTACAAATGTGTGTGTTTATTTGTGTGTGTGTGTGTGTGTGTGTGTGTGTGTGTGTGTGTGTGTGTGTGTGTGTGTGTGTGTGTGTGTGTGTGTGTGTGTGTGTGTGTGTGTGTGTGTGTGTGTCTTTAAATGTTTATGTTGTAGTATCCAAATGTCCCCACAGGTATAGATTTTGTTCTTGTGGGGACTTCTTTGATCCCCAAGAAGAAATGGCTTATAAATTACACATAAATCACACAGGAATACAAAGATATCAAATGAGACCTGTCATCTAACTCTCAGAATAAGAAGTAGATTTGTTTTCCCACTGCTTGCACGTTATTTTCTCAGCACAGAACACACAGATCGATAAATCCATGTTGCGTAACCACAGCAATCCCTGATTTTATTGCAAATCTGTAAGGCATCACATCTACCCCTATGCAAATGAGAAATGATTTTACATAAAAAGCCAAGGTTTGCTTTCTTGAGAATTTCCAAAGTTTAACAGCAGAGGTGTGTCGAGTCTATCGACGAGTACAGTCACTGAGGATCTCTGTGTTCCAGCTCCTGGTGTTTGTGCAAGAGACAGAGGGAGATTAGCATTCAACAAGATATCACTACTCATTGAGTCAGCACTCTCTTTCTCTCTCTCTCTCTCTCTCTCTCTCTGCTTGGTTCTTTCTGCCTTCTCCATTCATATAATGCCATATAAGGCTTACCAGATAACATTATAACCATTGCAGAAATTTCATGTAAATCATGCACACGTTTCAAGGGATAAACATGGCTGCGTTTTGTAAATCTTGTTCTCTGCATGCTTGTGTGAGTGTGTGTTGATGGTGGCGGTGGCAGCTGAGGCCAGGCACATGCTGCATCCACCAAATGTCAGAAAGCATTTGGGCTCCTGATTTGAGGCAGAGCAGTGTCCCTCAGGGGAGAGAGCAGCTTCTCTTTCTTCTCCTCTCCATCTCACTCTCTCTTTCTCTTTCTCTCTCTCTCTATCTGCCAACAGCTTCACTGCACCGCTTCAGTGAAGAAACACAGCTGAGTGGGTGGAGGGAGAGAATCCTTTAGAGAATTATGCGGATATTTAAAACTGCGTCATATCACACACACCAGTTTTATGTTAATTTTGTATTATGCTATACTTGAGGGCTAATATGGTCCAGTTGACTTGATAAATGTATAATCAATCATTCTTCGTGTCCTTAAAAAACTGTATACTCCTACAAATAAAGATACTTTATTAGTGTTGAGTGTTTTCAAAATAATCTTTAACATTTCATAGCAGAATCTTTGGGGTAAAAAAGGTTTTTCATTTTGTTTAAAGGGCACCTATGATGACAATCATCTTTTGGAAGCAATTTGGACTGTGTGCAGGTATAGTGTGTCCACAGTCATACTGGGGCATAAAGACAATAAGTCTCTTTTTTAAATTTCTTGACGTTGAAATAGCATCCAAATCCCTCCCATTTTGAGGCCCACCGCAACAAGGCGTAAGAGTACGGTTACGAATTACCCACCAAACAAATTGATTGACAGCCACATATTAACCTGTCTCCATAGTAGCGTGTATAATCATATCAACAAGACAGGACATGTGCAAAGCAACCGAGTGATCTGTGATCTGATACTGTGATCATCAATCATCATCAAATGTGATCAAGTATGAGTTTTACATGTTTAAAATATTTTTAAAACAGTGCATGTTTGTGATAAAGATAGTGAAATTGATGTAATTCCTCACCACAACTGCATGTCAGTACAATTATAAAAGACTCTTCAATCCCCATTTGTGGATGTTAAATATTTTTTTTAACATTTTTTTATATATGTCAACAAAACACATATCCATGCAGCAGTGGATATTAACGTATATCTGTAAACATTTGATGTGCAAAAACAGTGCAAAATTAAATGTGCGCACTTTGTGTGTTTGTCTGCTGTGTGTGTGTGTCTATGTGTGTGCGTGAACTTTGTAACAACATTCTCATTGCAGAAAGGCTTAAATAAACTCCACAACAAATACACCAAGTCATTGGAAAAATTCTAACTGTAATATTTCTCACAAACGTTACGTGAGATGAGCTTCCTTCATGTCTGTCATATGTAGTTTATCTGACACAGCCGAATATTGAGGTACACTCTGACAGGCACGTGGGAACAGTGAGCGAGTAGAACCAGCAATAAAGGCAAAGGTAACAAAAATGGCTACATTGTGTTCAGAGCAGAAAATTCCAATATTCTGAAAGGTCTAGATAATAATCTGATGGGTGTTTTGAGCTGAAACTGTACACAAATTCTGGAGACACAAAAGATTTGTTTTAAATCTTGGAAAAGGAGTAAAATAGGTGCCCTTTATATGTTCTTGAAACTAAGATAAAAGGTTGTAAAATGTCATTTTTTTATTAGAAGTTTGCATTAATTAGCAATTTCCATTACTGCAAACTGCTAATTAAACCTTTATATTAAAAAAAAACTGTTAGTTTGCTTTTTTCAACTGCACTACCTGACAAAAGTCTTACCTATCCAAGTTTTAGGAACATCAATAATAACTTGAATTCTAGTTGATCATTTGATTTTAGAAGTGGCTTATTTGAAAGGCAAAGGCCTCTAATTTACACCTATTTTAACAAAAAAAAAATATATATTTTATATTATTTAATTAGGACAGTAAGTCTGACCTTGCTTAGACTAAAGTCTTGTTACTTAATAGAAATCATGTACAGTATAGAATATAAAGTCATGGTGCAATGGAAAAAGAATTAATACTGCATCCATCCATCTCTGACTCAAATAACTTATATATAAATCATATAACTTATGAATAAAGTTTTCTGGAATGGCATAGAAAGCGTTTTTGTAGGAGTTCATGAAAATGTTTTGCTTTTATCTTCAATGCCTCCTCTTTCATCTTACCTTAGACATGCTCAAGAATGTTCATGTCTAGTGACTGGGCTGGCCAATCCTGGAGCACCTTGACCTTCTTTGGCAGCACAAATGTTTTGATACCTCAGGCTGTTGATGTTGCCATTCATTCTCCTGCATGGCAACATACTGAATGTAACTCCAAACCATGATTTTCCTTAACCAATCTTGACTGATTT